GCGGCTCCTCCTCCTCAGGCTGCAGGTAAGGACGGCCGCGGGGAGCGTCTGAGGGGAACCGCTTGCTGGAACCCTAGCCCAGTACCTCCGAGCCTGGGGGTGGGGAGACCCCGGATCGTCGCCCCTTGTGAAACACCCTTAAGGGTAAGGGGGCGTTACTGACCGCCAGAGTTTAGAGGAGACTAACCCAGAACCCATCATCCAGAGAAAGGGAATCGCCTCGGAGTGGCGACCATCCTCTCCCGCCCCTTTGCACCAGTATGGAGAGAGCTCCTACCTGGGGAGTCTCCTGGTTGGCCCGCCAGGCTGCTCGGCGGCTTCGCTGGCCCTTCCAGTAGAGGCCAGCCAAGGGTTCGCACTGCCTCTCTGTCAAGGCTGATGTCTATCTCAGAAGCTTAGGCCCTCCACCGTTACTCTGAGCAAGGTGGAGTACCCACGTTCCGGACAGAAACCATTTTGGGGAACCCGAGTCTGTGGGTCCCCGCTGGCACGCGCTGCTATGCTGTGTTGCGTGTCAGGGTCACAGACGGTGGGATTCTAGGTACTCCAGGGTAGGTGTTACGTGGCTGCCGCCCTCATTCATGCAGCAAACATTCCCGGCACTTTTTTTTGTGCCGGACAGTGGGCCAAGATATGACTGTGACCAACACCAGGCCCTTTCTTGACTAGAGCCCAGAATGCGTCAAGGGAGACAGCCACGTAACCCCAGAAATATAAGCCGGATTAACTCTTGGGTAGCGAGGCCCGGGCGATGTGAGAGCTCAGGGGAGGTGCTGCAGAATGTGGGGTTTGAAGGAGGTTCCTTGTCTCCTGAAAGCCACGTAGGAGATAGCAGGATGAAGAGGCAGGAGAAAGTGGGTGTATATCCTTAGGGCCTTGTCCACCTTTCAGTCTGGCAGAGACTAAACAGACTTTTTGTTGTAAGTAGAAACAGACATATCCTTCTATGTTCTCCCTCTTTAAATGCACTTCATGGGGTGGCAGTTGCTGTAGAGACTTTATGGTATTTGAGCTATGAGGATATGGTGAGAAAAGGAGATTGCCTGTCAGTTTCAATTTGAGATAGATCTGTCGGAATCCATGTCTTTTGTTTGAATTTGTTTTCATGATTATTATCAAAGATTGTGTTCCCTGTCTGAGCTGAGAACCAGTCTTGCTCGTAGGTTAACAAGATTATTCAACAAACATCACCTATCTACCACCATTTACCAGACATGGTTTTAGATGACAAGATTTAGATGACTACTAAAATACAGTAGTAAACACTTTTCACTGGAGTCCCTTACATTCTAATTAGGGAAGAGAGAAAGAAGTAAATAAATGAGATAATTTCATAATAGAGGAGGGGGACTGGTGTACTTTCCTGATGGCCTCTCAGGGGATGGCTAAGGGGACAGAAAGATGACCTTAGTCTTTTGTGACCTCGACAAGACCAGTTTGAATGGAGAAGTATAGACAGAAGTCTGGTTGGAGGAGGCTAAAGAGAGGACAAGAAGAGTGAGTAGAGCTAGAGACTTTAAATCCTTTCAAGCTTTTAGAGAGGGAGCAGAGAAAGGGGTCTGTGGGTCAACTAGGATATGGGGAATGGTGTCTTTTTTTTTTTTTTTTTAAATTAGCTGGAAGATAGCAGAGTATGCTTATAGGCTGATAGGTGTGTGATCCAGCAGAGAGGGAAAGAGTTTGCTGGTGTTGCACCAGGGAAACAGTTACAAAATAGGTTGCAGAGCATGAATATAATGGCCCTCATGGGAGTATATAGCAACAGGAAGGAAAGCAGAAAAGGCTTCTGAAATGTGGGTATTAATATAGGTAGCGAGCAAGTTTGAAAACATAGTGTTCTTTCCCCCTAACGTTTCTTTACCGTATTTATGGGTATGCCTGGTGTGTGTGTTGAGTGATTTGGGATGAAGTGAAGGTTTTATAATTTCTTAACAAAATATAAACTTTCATAGTGAATAATTGAATATTACTCATCAAATTGTTCACAGTTGTATACTCTTGCAAAAATATAGCCACTGTTACACGTCCCAGGATGTTACATGCCATTTTGTTTTGAGAATTCCTTCTAATCAGATCAGTGAGTTCCATCACGAGGAATAGTACTAGGAAAGGAAATACGGATCAGACACTCCATAATAATTGGCATTGTGTATATTGATAACTGAAAGAGTTAAAGAACAAGCAGTTTCTGCCATGCTAATCTACTTAAGTACATCAAATACCTGCTAGGATTGTGTTTTTCTTGTGTCTAGCTAACTGGAATAGCACAAATACACTTGCTTCTCGATCCAGACACTATTTGTAAATAATTGCTACTGGATGTTCTTGAGCTAAACCACTGCCCTTTGTACCAGTAACTAAATGAGATTTATTCAAGTAAGATCATTTTCTCCAGTCTTGATGGAAGTTGGCTCCAAGCAGGCAGATGTTAGAACTTTGAGCAGTCCCGTCTGCTAGTTTCTATGGATAAAGCTCAGCCCTCAGTGAGATTGAGGTGCAAGGCTCTGGTCTATAATGATGTGTATTCTTTAGAGAGGAAGTTCATTGGTATAATATATTTTATACCTACTGTTCTAGAAAGAATGAGAGTGAGAGAAAGGGAGAGTGTGCGTGTGCATGTACATGTTCATGTGTATTTTAGATTGTTTTTTGGGAGTCTGAATTATGTTCTCCCGAATTTGTAATCTGGTCTCTCATCCGAAGTTTTCTCGATATATTTCTCGGCCTTGAGAAACCAAGTGATATGCATACACTTTACTTAAGAGGAAATTAATTCAAACCTGCTTTGGTTTTAAAAATATGTTATATTTGAAAGTGCTTTGTAAAATTCATAGCCTTATGTTAGGTACTCCCATGGGCCAAGATGAAGTACAAAAGGATAAAGGTCTCAAATGTAGGATCACAATATCCTGGTTGCATAAAAACCTGTTTTGAATGAAACATTACCCAGAGATTGTTGTAGAAACTGTTTAATTTAGCTCCACCTACAATTTTATTTCCATTGAATTATTTGTTTTGAAAAAGTGAAGGCTTCAGTTGAGCTGGGGAGCACAAACCACCGGCAGAACAACAATATTAGACATCTTTTCTTTCTTTTCTTCTCATTCTTTCTTTCTTTTTTAAGACACCACTTAATTTTTGTGGGGTTTTTTTGGGGGGGGTAATTAGATTTTTTTTTTTTTCAATGGAGGCACTGGGGATTGAACCTAGAACCTCGTGCATGCTAAGCAAATGCTCTACCACTGAGCTATACCCCCCTCCTCAAGACACCACTTTCTTAAGAGATAGATAGTTAAACAGATAGGGAGCCCTGGGAAGAAGCTCATTTTTTCTAGGAGCAGATTTTTAATTTTGTAGACTCTTGAGCTCTAAACTTCTGATAGCAAAATTGGATTTTATGAATTTTTGTAATTATCTTTCTCTGCTATAGTTTTAGATGATTTGGGAAAATTATTTTTCTCTTTTAATTCCAGTTACAGGTGAATGGGATACAACTTGGAACAGGGATGTTTTGTACCAATGAGTTGACCTTAGTTATAGACAGCTGGGTCCATGTGTAATTTAATTAGGAATTTTAAGTAGAAATTCATTCAGAAAACTTCCATAGTGGTTAGATCCAGGTGTTCCTCTTGTTAGACTTGTATAATATACAAGGCTATCTATTTCTCTTAAGTTATTTGACATATTTTATTATTATGATTACCATAAAAAATTCAAACCCCAAATTGGGTTCTTGGAAACTGTTAATTCAGAATGAGTTTCTGGGAGCATCATATACCACATGAATTTGTTTCTGCCTGAATAAAAGTGTGTAGGCATCTTGATGGCCATTCTAATGTACCTACTGACTTTGGGGCCTTGTTTTTTTTTGTAGGGTTAATAACTAATATTTATATAAGACAAAAGAGAAAGATGTCATTCCGTAAAGGTATGTTCTTTCTACAGTTACGTGGTTTTTATACCAGGTCCAAAGATGGAGAGATGTAATGTAGACTTTCTCCTGTGTGTTTCAGTAAACATTGTCATCCTAGTCCTGGCTGTTGCTCTCTTCTTGCTGGTTTTGCACCATAACTTCCTTGGCCTGAGCAGTCTGCTGAGGAATGAAGTTTCAGGTATGAAAACCCTGAGTAACGCCTTGGTATCTGTTGAGTACCTGGAATTCTGTGTCCCACATCCTAGGTCACATCACTAGATTTAAGGAAAAGAAGGCCTTCTTCTTGGCCTTATTACAGAAGCTACTAAAGACTCTGGGAAAGGCAGGTGGTATGCATTGGGCTCTTGCAACCCCACCCTCTTTCCCCTTCTTGGGCAATTGTTTGCTAAGGGTTTGATCTCACAGAAGATTCCTTTTCACCAAATCAGAGGCCTTAGAGGAAGGAGCCTCTGTGGGCTATCTGCAGACATTTCTGTAGGGCAGGGCTTCAGAAGGTGGGGACAGGTGTCATTGATTTTTGATGCCTGCTCTGTGCACTAGTGTGTCAGTCCTGTAACTTTCCTTCACCTGTTACTTTCCTTTAACAAGTGGAACCATATCAGTAGGACTAGTAGTGAAACAAAATTATTAAGTCTTGTCAACTGATCAAAAAAGTCACTGTTGTACAGTTTTGCTGCCAGTTCAATTAGTTGCTCATACTGCTCTACTTTGGTTTTGAGGGATGTTTGAGGCTTCAGAGTGTGTATCAGAAATCATTTTTGTACTGTTACCCACTATATTTTTATTTTCACCTACTATACTTGATCAGAGCAAGAAAAGACTAATAGCTTTCCTTTGACTTTCACTGAGTGCTCTGATAGCTTGTTTTATAATTGTGTATATACGTATGTGTATTTACATATATACACACCCATAAATGTACATAAAGTAATGCATGCTCCTGGTAGGAACATCTATGAAAAAGAAAATAGCATTCAAGCTCTATGAGGGCAGTTGTGGCTGGTACATACGAGGTACTCAATAAATACTCACTGAATAAATGATTCATTGCCTAGAGTTAACTAAAATTTTGCCTTAGTAGCTTCCAGTTTTTTTCTGTGTATGTATTTTTTTCTATACAGTTGAGATTATGCTGTATATATACTGCACATGTGACATGGTTTTCCAAATAATTATATCCTAAGCATGTCACCATGACTATTGAAACTCTTCATGTATAAATTTAATGCCACAATTTACTTGTTGCCACAGGGAAGTCTTTTGGTACAGTGACTTTCAGACTTTTTTGATGGCAGCCCCACAATAATGAATATTACCTACAGCACACACGTGTATTTGCTTCTTGTCTATCTGCCCTTCACAGTGGTAAAGATTTCACAATTTTATTCATGGCTATAACTCCAGTGCCTCTATATTGTTTGGCGCACAGCAGGCACTCAGTGTTCAGTGCATGATGAATGAGTAAATAAAGTATTACAAAAGGCAAGAAGGAAGGTTTACAAAACAATACTTGCAGTTGCTGTATGTGATGCAGTCTGGTATTTTCTAAGTCAATGTTCTATTCCAATTCAGGAAGTTTTCATACTCAAATTCTAATTGTGACCAACTAAATTGATTTCATGCCTACTGCATGATTTATGGCTTGAAAAACTGTTTTTAGTCTTCTTGGTCTTTACAATTATAAATAAAATTGTGACTTCTGATTACCTCAGATTTTGTCCTTGAGACAGACAAGGGGAATTAATGAGTCAAAGGCCTTGTACCCATTCAAAGGTCTTGATACAAATTGCCAAACTGTAATCTAGATTGTTATATTCCTATCAGTAGTAGTGTATCAGAATTGTCAACTTTTTTTTTTTAATGCTTTTTCTAAAAGCCTGGTTACATATGGGAAAACAAAATTTCTGGGCTGTATGCTTCACATTGTAGTGAGGGAGAATGAAGTGTCATATAATCCTCATCTTACCTCCTTTCATGCCTTGGGCTGTGTCAAAAGCTCATGAGATTGGATCACAGTATCTTCTTTGTGTTCTTTGCAGATTCAGGAATTGTGGGGCTTCAGCCTGTAGACTTTATCCCAAATGCTCCCCAACAAGCAGTGGATGGGAGACAAGAAGAGATTCCTGTGGTCATTGCTGCATCTGAAGATAGGCTCGGGGGGGCCATTGCAGCCATAAACAGCATTCAACACAACACTCGCTCCAATGTGATCTTCTACATTGTTACGCTCAACAGTACAGCAGACCATCTCCGGTGAGCTCTGCTTGCCTCATGATTCTGCTTCTAGAGGATGCTCTAGAGCAGGCCAGCTGCCAATCCAGTAATACTCTTTTTCAGTGTTTACTTTTTTATATAATTGAGATTATACCACTTATAAACTACACATTTTTCTGTGTCCCCATGATAGCAGAAACATGTTAAGGAACTTGTGTCAAGATGTAAGTCAACTGTGTCATTATGCACACTAATAATTCAAGCTATTTTTTTTGGTAGAAGACTTTCTCAATGAAGGAAGCACCATGTTGATCTATATTTTCTTACAAGTTCCTTATCTCATGGACATGCTCTTGAGTAGTTCTGGTCTAGAGTGGGAAGGGACGTGGGAGCAATGGCAAGGTAGTGTGGTGGTGAGCAGACACTGTTCCAAATCCTGACCCAGTCTTTGGGGAACACTACCTAACCCCTTGGAGTCTGTTTCCTAATTTATTAAGTATGGAGTGTAAATATCCAACTTAGAGGATTGTTAAACGAGAAAATACATTAAAAAAACACCTACCACATAATAATCAGTCAGTAAATGGTCCTTACCAGTATAATTGTGATTAATAGAAACCTAATCTGATACAACAGTCTTAACTGTGTTTTGAAGATGTTTTGAATCAAGATTTCCATGGTTTATTCCAAGAAACATTGTGTCTAAACTAATAGTGGTCAGAGTTCTAAGACATTTCTGTCCCTTTGCCTTTCTCTGGTTCATGTTTAGTTTATGAAAGTTACTATGAGTTATTTTTCTGCATTTAAAAAACTCAAACTAATATAGAAAGAAATATTATATTGAAATAAACTACAGAAATAACATGTCTACAAAATACTGATCTGAAATGGAAAAATGTACAGTACTGACTTTTCTTACAGGCAGTACCTTAGACTTGGTAGAATTACTTGAAGTCATCACAGCAAATTAATGAGTGTATAGATTAACAGACTGACTTACCAGCTTTGTTGATAGCTTTCACGACTATCATACTTTGACTCATTTTGTGTTTTTGGAGGAACAAAAATTGAAAGATTCATGTGGTGATGGAATCTTTTCAATTACATAATGAAATTTTCTATAGCAGTAGTAATCAAAAGTATGAGCCTTTGGGAGCACTGTTACCATATAATCTTGGTTCAGGGAGGGGCTTTAGTGGGGTATCTCACTGCAGAAGAGGAAACCAAAGCTCAGAGAAGGGGCTTCAAGATACCCTGCAGTCCTCAGGATTTCACTTCCACTATGGCCTCACTGGAAAGCACAGATAAGGCTGCAGTATGGGACATGATTATTTAAAACTGATATTTGGTGCTTTATTTTCATCAGGTCCTGGCTCAGCAGCAGTACCCTGAAAAGCATCAGGTACAAAATTGTGAATTTTGACACTAAGCTTTTGGAAGGGAAAGTAAAGAAGGATCCTGACGAGGGGGAATCCATTAAACCAGTGAGTTCCACACACTCTTGTTTGTAACTGGCAGTATTAGGAAATGATTGGAATACCTGAGTAACTGGGTACAGTGCAAGTAGTTCCCTGGGCAGCAAGCCTGGGAATTCTGAGACCTTCAGATGTCTTCTCCTGCATGGAAACTGAGAGCATTCTGGGAGTTTCTAGTAAACAAAAGCACAGCCACTGACAAATCCTGTGCCAATGCTTCTTTCCTTTTACTTTTTCAGTTAACCTTTGCAAGGTTCTACTTGCCAATTCTGGTTCCCGGCGCAAAGAAGGCCATATACATGGATGACGATGTAATTGTGCAAGGTACCAGAGAATGTCACCATCAGTGTTGCTCTCTTCCCAGTGTAGGCTGTAGTGGTTGGTTGTCTTACTTATGGTAGCCTATAAACGGTCATCTTAAGAGGTGGGAGGAATAGGGAATCTTGGGGCAACTTTCATTGTAAATCTTAAACCTTATCTATTTCAGGTGATATCCTTGCCCTGTACAATACACCACTGAAGCCAGGACATGCAGCTGCATTTTCAGAAGACTGTGATTCAACCTCTACTAAAGTTGTCATCCGTGGAGCAGGGAACCAGGTAAGTTACTTATTAGACCCTTTGCACAGACACTCTGCTCCCTATAATGCAGGTTAATGGGGTAAGAGGCAACAAAATCAGGGAACTCTTAATTCTTTTTTTGCTACATTTACATTCACCAGTTATTTCATCCAAAACTCAAGGCCACTTTCCTACAGATTGGTTCATGGATTTGACAACCTAGTTCTCTTTGAACATCTGGCTTAAGGTTTATTCTAGGTTCCTACTGTCTAACTTGCAATCCCAAATGTCACTTTTATTTGCGTTATGTAGAGCCCTTTGCCAATAATCTGAGAAGTCATAAGTGAACAGAACAGTTATCCAATCAAATTGTATCTATCCTGTGTGAAGCAGTAAACGTACTATATATACCATTTGTGTTTTCAGTACAATTACATTGGATATCTTGACTATAAAAAGGAAAGAATTCGTAAGCTTTCCATGAAAGCGAGCACCTGCTCATTTAATCCTGGAGTTTTTGTCGCAAACTTGACAGAATGGAAAAAACAGAATATAACTAACCAGCTGGAAAAATGGATGAAACTCAATGTAGAGTAAGTATGTAACTGGCATAGCTGTGAAAACTCTTGTATTTCAACCCTGTGTCTTGACCAGTGGGAACTGGGATTCTTTACTAACATCATGTTTTTTTATCTGTCCCACCAAGAGAAGGATTGTATAGCAGAACACTGGCTGGCAGCATCACAACACCACCTCTGCTGATCGTATTTTATCAACAGCATTCCACCATCGACCCTATGTGGAATGTTCGCCATCTTGGTAAGCAGAAATAACTAACCAAGGGCCTAAGCTAATGAAGTGTCTAAAGAACTCTCCTCAGGGATGGGATATTTATCATTTTCCAGTTTGATGTGGTATGACTAGTATTATCATTTGGCTCTTTTTCTCTCAATGTAAGGTTCCAGCGCTGGAAAACGATATTCTCCCCAGTTTGTAAAGGCTGCCAAGTTACTCCATTGGAATGGGCACTTTAAACCATGGGGAAGAACTGCTTCATATACTGATGTCTGGGAAAAATGGTATATTCCGGACCCAACAGGTAAATTCAGCCTAATCCGAAGACATGTGGAGATCTCAAATATAAAGTAAAATATAATTTATGCTACAAGCATTTCTCAGGAAATCCCAGAAGACAGTGTATGTGGGAAGTAACACTTGCTAGGTTTCAATGCCTGTCTGCAGCAACCTATGGAAAAAGACATTTCAGCTGGGTAGAGGGCAAACTGCCCCATCTGGCAGTCAGCTTCCTAGACAGACTATTAACACGCCTCCGTCTGCCTTACCAAGCATTTGCTTACTGACAGTGCTGAATGACCAGAGGTGAATGGACTTAAATGGCAGGTACAGCTAGTTCAACACTGCTGCTTGGTTTTCATTTTATAACCATAGGTTATCTATAAATAAAGTGAATACTACATTTTTCTAAAGGTATGGTTTTTACTTTCAGGTAACTACTTCTGCCTGCTCACTAAGAGATGAGTTGTCTTTTTATAGAATTGAGACACTTTCTAAGTTGACTGATTTTTTTTTCTAATGAATGTATCATGATACATATTCAAAATTTATAGTTTACATCATACCATAACAAAGTGGCACATGACACACACACACACACACGTTTAGCAGTCTGCTCAAAATGTGAAAAACCAAAAAACATAGAAGAACAAGGTTCTATTATACATAGTCTGTACTGAAGTCATAAGCATCATCTTCCTCTTCAGTTATTTTATCCAAGACAAAAGATTGTGCAGACTGCTCATCTATATTGGAAAGAAAAGTGAGGTTTAAAAAAAGCTTTAAAAAATAATTCTATACCATGCTATTTTGTTAGAAGACCCCTCCACCCAACTCACCTGCCTGACACTCGAACAGTGCCTCACAGGCCTCTTCGGCAGGGGACATATCTGAGCTCTTCTCCTGTGGGACAGAGAAACAGTGTTAGATTAGTAGCCCTTGTCTGCTCATTAATCCAAGTAATTACCCAGAAAAAGTCCCTGAAAGTATCAATGGGATGCACAAAATCAAGCCTTAAATATCTAAATTGGCTGCTTTTAGTCATGAAATAATTTCTATTTTTGCCTTCAGCCCCTTTCTATTTGTACATTATAATGCTAGAAAACTTACTAAAGCTTAAACAACCCATGTACAATATACTTACATCACCTTCTTCATCAACACTTTCCTGGTCAGTGTCGACATCTTCAAAGTCTTCCTCTTCCTCCTGCTTCCTTTCCTTCTGTTTTGGCAGTCCTTCAGATATATCCTTTTCCTCTATTATTCCATTTGTCAGACCTGAAGACTGGAAAAGGATGCTGCTGGCTAACTGAGGGCCCTTGATGGCTGGGAAAGGTAAATATAGCCGGTGTAAACAGATGAAACCTTTACTGGCCGGTCACCTGACAAAGCAGTTAAGCAAAAGCCTTGCGTACCTTGTATGCTACGTGCATTATTCTTTTCCAGTTCTTCCAGATTAAAGCCCCATTTCATGTTTGTCACAATGTTCTCATTAAAATGTGGAGAAGGAGTCCAGGGTGTAGGGGGATGGCAATAGTAACCTAAGGTGGCACTGGTATTAAAAATAAGATTTGTCAAAAACCAGTTCCTTTATTCTATGTGGTCATCAAAATGCCAACAGAAGAAGTCCTACCCTGTCCACTCAGACCACAGCAGTTTGGCAGCAGCTTCTACATTTGGGCTTCCACCCTTTTGGTGCAGTCCTCTTCTCTGAGCAAATGAAGTAAAAAATTCCAGAGAATTCTTAAAATCTGGAACAGTAAATTTCAGTACTACCTTTACAAAAAAAAAAGCCAGACAAATTCATATAGTACAGATATTAAAAAAAACTTGAAAAAAATTTAAGATGATTACAATGAAACAAAGAAGATGGAGCTCAAGGGAAGGGGATTCTTTTACCTGTCGAGAATCAGCATGGGACAGGATGGCACTAGCAGCCTCCACTGGTTTTACTACCTCAATACTTGCTGGACTTCTCAGAGCAAGTGCAAGAGCAGAGTTAAGTGGAGACACAATGAAACTTGGACTATCTATGATTGTGATTTGTTTGTCCAAGGGGATAGCCTGCATACACCTGGAACGAGAAAGATGGTAATTGAAAGGGACACTCATTTACTTAAGGACAAGAGACAGAACACGAAGCTCAGGGTTGGATTGAACAAACTCAGCACAGTCTGTCAGATCCAGTTTATCATCATTTGCTTCATGTTTATCTAAAACCATTAACAGCACACCCCCCTTACTAAAGAGAAACACTACACCTTACAGCTTATATACATATAGGCCTAAACACATGCTGTTACCTTTGTCATAAATATTTTGTCTCTTCTAACTGGCAGACTTCTATTCAAGTTCAGGTTCAAGCATCACTTCCTGAGGCAGCTTACCCCTTTCTGAATCTACTTGCTTATCTGTCTTTCAAACTAGATTGTGGGTAGCTATTCTACTCCAATTCTTCCCCAAGGCTAACGCTGTCTTAACCCTCCACCTTCTACAGAACAGAAAACAGTGATAGAAATAGATCATATTTACTCATCGATAATGAAATATTATAATTACGAAACAATTCAGTTTACCTTGTAAGCCCCATGGATATACCAACATGACATATACGTTCTTGTTTTAAGCTATTGATGATGCTGCTTTTCCCCACATTTGGAAAACCTACAAATGGGAAACCCATAGATACAAAAGATATTATGTGCTGGTAATTATAAAATTTTCGCTGCCGTTAAAAAAAAATTTAAGTATAGTAGATTTACAATGTTAGTTTCAGGTGTACAGCAAAGTGATTCATTTATACATACATATTCTCTTAAATCTTTTTCCACTATAGATTATTACAAGATGTTGAATGTAGTTCCTTGAGGTATTATACAGTAAGTCCTTGTTTACCTATATTATATATGGTCGTGTTTGAGATTAACATATATACTCCTAATTTATCCCTTCCCCCACTCCACTGCCTTATTTTATGCCAGCCTGATGTTTAGAGCAAGATCAGAGTTGGATCTGAGCGTCTTCACTTCAACACTAAGACCACTCTTAGCATCTTCATTTCTTGCTCAAGTAACACAAGGGCAGGAAAAGACTACTAATTCAAATAAACCAGAACTTTCAGACGCTAACTTTATCTACAATGCCTGGTTGGCAAAATACTGAATCAGGCAGCAATTACTTAAAATTTTTGTCTTTACACTGTGTGTGTGTGGCAAGAAGCTGATGTCTGAACAAGCCCGCCCTTTAGCAACAACCCTATACACTGTTAACCTGAAAAATTTCTTGGCGCTTACTGAGAAAAGACAAAGTGTGTTGAACTGAAACTCACCAATTACCCCAACGTGAATGGCTTTGCCGTAAGTCTCCTGAAAACCTCGAAGAAGTTTCCAAAGGCCTTCTTTCCCAACACAGACTTCACTTTTGAATGGAGCAGCTTTCTTCCCTACCTTCACATGTTAAAAATCAAATAATTAAACTCCTGACAACTCACCAGACAAAACCCATGCAGTCTGGCTCCAGAACCCATCTAATAGATCACCACTATTGCTTTTCAGATCTCTGGATGAAATCAGAGTTGGATCTTTTAAGTTTTCACCTTCTTAATCAAGATTTTGTACACTCATCATATTTCACCCATCTGAAAGATGAAAGTACATTTCCCACCACTAAGTTAAGGGTACCTTGATTCTCTTCCCTTTGTCCTTCAGCTTTGTTGAGGCTTTGAACACCACTGTTGGCAATTCTTTCTTCAAATAAATAAGCCAGTTCTCCAGATTATCCTTTGGAACCAGATCTGATAGGGATTAGAAATAAAATACTGCTCTAATCTGGTCATTTTGTTGAGATGAATTTGCAAAGTCGAGTAAACTATGGATTTCATTCAGGTTTGCCTTTTCCCAGTTTTTTCAAAAGTACCTGAACTGGAAGATGGGGAGAGGGTCAGCTCCCTACCATGCTTCTGTTACTAGAATTCAGTATGTACTGTATTTCTTCAGTTCTCCTCTGCCCACCCTTTCAGGATTACACCAACCTCTAGATTATTACCCTACTAACCTTCGGGCTATGTTTCCAGAATTTACTATTAGGTAATAGCCATGTTTACTGACCCCCAACAGTAATTTTAGATTACATTCTTACTTTCTGCTTTACCAGTCTCTGTTCTGGGTGTTCCTGTCCCTGCTGCTCCAACCTAGATACACAGCTGTGTATTTCACCTAAGGACTGCCACATGTTGACATTGTGCAGATGTGAGGAACAAGGCACACAGTCATCATTTCCTATGTGAAATATATGAACCGTAAGCTGAATATAAAAGCTTACACTTAAAATAAGACAAGGTAGTTAAGTACTGAATGGCAACAGACAGTACAAATCAGTAAAATCACTTATAGAAAGCATCTCCACCCCACTGCCCAGCACTGTCTTTGGCAACGAGTGCATATGCACTGACTCTACTGAGGTCAGAGTTGGATCTTACCAGTCTTCAGTGGCAATCAGACTGTTCAGATGTTTTCCTCATACCTCATTAGTGCATATGGAACATAAAAGGTATCCTTCTTGCTTACCTGACTTATTTAATACAAGTACCAGCTTTTTCTGTCCACCCTCGACAATGGCGGCTTCTACCTGGGGACATCTGCAACCAAGGGGATCTCTCGCATCCAACACCTCCAGCACAACATCTGAGGCCTCAATCACCTTACAAAGCAGAAGCTATTAGAATAGCATCGCTTGATCTGGCACCACCCTCCACATAAGTACACTGGTGTTATCCACTTTGCAACAGGGTGAGCTCAGAGTTGGATCTCGTGTCTTCACTTTGGTATGAATGTTTACAGATTCATCATTTTTTACAGGAAAATAAATGTAAGTTTAACAGCCTCTGATCAAAGTGGATTTCAAGACTGGAAACACTCCACTATCTAAATACATAGTCCTCCCATTGTGAATTATGTAGTTTGAAAGGCCCTTATGCCCTGCCAAGAGCTGAAAAGCATAGTCAGGGTCTATTCATAGTAGGGAGTGAGCTTAGGAAAATAGGTGATGGGGATGGGAGTGCTGGGGAACAACCATACCAAAACATCCCCTTGACCTCCTTCACTTAGGTTTCCGCATGGTATTTTATAGAGACTAATTTTTGCACTGCTTATGCTAATGTACTCTCTTTGTTTAAACTATTACTATTCTCTTCTATTTAAACTATGGCTTGTGTCAACATGTTACAAAATGTCACTTTTTGCAAATCATGCTTATGCCAGCCTGCAAAAATTTAAAACCAGACTATTCCTTCAGCTAAACATAACAAAATAAACCAACTTGCTGAAGGATTCTTCCAGCTCAAGAGAACTCTACTTCCTCAAAGTTGGTGTCATGGAGGAAAAAAAAAAACCCAAGAAACTCTAGTTTTTTAAACCTCA